GTTTCGTGGCCAGAGGATGGTTTCTAACAGGATTTGTGCCCTAAGGATGGCCAGGCACTGGAAATTTGTTGTCTCCAGCCTAGCCCTCGCAACCCGCTGTCCTTGTGCTCCGCAGCCTTGGCTGCGCTGCAGTGGAGGGTGCTGGGTGCTCTCTGCAGGCTGGCAGGAGCTGTGTTTTGTGTTGGTTATTTTTTTTTTTTTTTGCTGTGCTCCAAACGTGGAGGTTGTTTCTGGGTTTGCAAGGAAGTGCCTCGGCTCTTGGGGTTTGAGCTCACCCATGTTTGCTTCCCAGGGGACTCCCCAGCTGGTGGGAAAAGCCTTGAGAATCCCCCCTGCAGAGCACACACCATGGATGGACGGTGAGAGGAGGGCAGGGAACAAGTGCTGAGCATCCCTGTGGGGCTGTGGGCCAGGCGGCCTTTCCTGCTTGAGGTTTGTGTGGCCTGGAAGACGTTGAAAATGGCTGTTGGTGGCTGCTCCAGCCATGCTGCTGGCACAGGCTTGTGTGCCTGGACCTTGGCTCTCGGGCTGGGCTGGGTGGTGGGTGCAGGAGGGGTGGTCCGTGGTGCTCTCACGGGGGAGCTCGGTTTCTTGAGCGTGTTTGAGGGGCACCCTGGAGATGTCCTGCGTGGGCTCTGCTGCAGCCATCTGCTCGTCCAGCCGCTGCTTGGTGCCGTCCGCTGGCACTGCCAGGCTGCAGGGACAAGGCCCAGAGGAAGGAGGCTCTTGCTGGTGCTCTTGGACTCTGGCGGTGCCTGGCCAGTCGCAGACACCGGCTCCCCACCGCCGCTGCGGGTGCAAGCCCGGCTCTGTGTAACCCCTGTCTCCCACCCCAGCTGTCCTGTCCCCCTGTCACCCCATGGACCCATGTCTGGGACCGTGGATCCAAGGTGTTCAGCCCCCTGCGTCCCCGGGCAGCAGGTCCTGGCGTGATGCTCTGGTGACCTTGGCACAAATGGGTCATCCTGGGGCTGGTTTGCGATGGGCTGAAGCACTGCTGGTGACGAGCCCAGGTAGAGTTGGAGCTGAAGCTCCAATTTTCCTCAAATTTGGCACTTCTGTGGTTTTGTGTTTTATTTTGTCTTTTTTAATTTCTACTTGGAGTATTTCACAGGAGGCTCCTGCTCCTAAACGGACGCTGCTGCTGGGGAGCGCTTGCTCTCAGCTGTAATCCGTCTCATTTTCAGATGGAGATAACTTCTAGCTGCTGCAGTACTGCTGTTGTAACGCAGCCTTCCTAGCCCCAGGTCAGAGGCGGTTTCTCGAGCGCTCACGGACACACAGATTTCCCCCTGCGAGCAGCTCGGTGGCTCGTGGCCCTGGGGGGTGTTTGCCCTGTGCTCTCAGGGCAAGGGGCAGCGGCAGGGCGGCCGGCACCATCATGCTGAGCAATTTTCCATGTAGGATCAGGAAAAGCTTGGGTGTCCTTCATGCAAGCTTGTCAGCCAGTTGTTATTAGCAGCCTCCGACATCTTCCAAAAGGCTGAAAGCTGCCACGAGAGGGCAGGAGCTGATGCTGCTATTTCTAGTTTTGGCAGAAAGGGCTGCAAATGTCAGTTCCTCAAGACTATTCAAATGATTTTCCATTTTCTAGAGGGTTTGGTTCCCAAGCTGCTGTTCAGTCCGTGTCCTTGGCTGTCTCCATCCCAGGGTGGCTTCCACAGTGGCGGCAGGAAAACTGCCCTGTGAAGAGAGCTGGGTCCTGCTGGGCTGCCTTCTCCAGAGCTCCTCCAGACCCGGAGGGCTTCTGCAAGGCCCTCAGCCATCTTGCAGGATTCATTCGCCTCCAGCGGTCTCGCTCTGTTTTGATGGCCTTGAAGCCTCATCCTGTGTCGGGACACATGTTCCGAATAAAGGGTTTTTTTTCTTGCCCATCTTGAATGAGGAGGTTAATGACCAATTTCACTGTCTGGGAGAGACTTAAGCGTAACAAAATGGGAGCTGCAGTGCCAGCTGACAGCCTCGTGCTGCCATCTGTGCTACAGGGGGTTGGGAACTTCAGTCTGGTTTTGAATAAAAGGGAGAATGATTAACTAGTAAACGAGCGGGGTGGTTACAGCTGCCCGGAGAGTGGCTGAAAGGAAATTGAGTCTCCACGTTGGCAGGGCTGGGTTTTTCTGGATTTTGGCTGTTGTGGGTTCTTTTAACCTTTAACGCTAACTGCAAGGAGCGCTTACGGGTCGTTAATCCCTTCGCTGGTAATGTCACCTGCGGTCAGCAGCACGGCGCGGTGTCTGTCTGCTCCTCTGTCAGGAGAGCAGAGATTCTCCCGGGTGAAACAGCTGCAAACGCTCTGCCACGCCTGAGTACCAAAGACTCAAACCAGAGACGTTTTTTTCCAGAAAACTATAAAGGCAGCAGCAAGGCTGTCTCTGGGAGAAGAGCATGTTTATGAGAGATCAACAGTCGGAGCAAAGGAACGGCGCCGAACTCGGGAAACGCTCACTGAAAACATCACCCCCCACACGTGCCCTTGTGCAAGGAGCAAACCGTGTCAGACCGAGAAGCTCCCGCAGGGAAGGGCTCACGAGCTAAACACGTTAAGGCCTTGAAGAAGGTATGTGAGTCTTCACAAACATGCCTGAGACACTGAGGAGTCCAAAAAAACCCCCCAAAACCCAACCGGACCCAGAGACAACAGGCAGAAAGCCCTAATACTTCAGGTAGCAGTGTGGGATCTGCTTAGTCACGTATTGTAAACACCGTTTTATGGAGATTGGCATTTTTATTTCTTTTAAACTCTCGCTCTTCATTGTTTTAACCTTGCTTCCGAGGGTCCCTGCAGCTGGGCTGTGAGTGGTGAAGCTGTGTGAACGCCTGTGTGGGTTTTGATGGGTCTCAGCGTGGTGAGCGTCCAGCTACTCATCTGAAACGGGAGTGGTTCAGGAGAGGGGTCGTCTTACCACGCTGCAAAGCTGGGCGCAGGTAAACTCGCCGCGCCCCTGGGGGCTCGAAGCTTGGGCTTTTTCTGGGTTTAACAGGTTTCTCATGACTGGAAACTCTGTTGTGCAGTTTTGCTCTGATTGGAATGGGGGCAGGTAACTGCGCTCAAGGGAAAAATGATATTTAAGCGGCAGTAGGTGGAATGTTTGCCTTTCAAGTATTTCAAACACAGATATTCATCCTGCTACTGTAGCTGCTTCCCAAATACTTTTGAAAAGCAAACAAAATTCCTTGTATCTCCTCTGAGCCAACAGGAAATACTTCTTAGTTTGGGTTCCAACATGACTCAGTTCAGCGATTACAGAAGTGCCAAAACAGCTGGTGGAGGAGCTTACTGGAAGTGTAAAATCAACAAAAACAAGAGAGGAAAAAAAGTAAGAGATGAAAAAATCATCTGTGTTTGGAAATTTCTAAATAGTATGAAAGATGCTAACGCACACAGCAAAGTTACAGGGCTCACATTCTCTTTTCAGACATTGTATTTATTGAATCACACTGCCCAGCGTGGAGTAATACCTCTCTCTACGTGGGTGCTTTATCTGGTGCGTGTCCCGGAGGCTCTGCAGCTCAACACTCTATGTTACTACTTGTACTTCTGCAGTTCTGGGGTCTTGGTAGTTCACTTACAGGGTGGCATCATGGGAAGTCATTGGCACAGTCATCTCTTGGTGTTTGTGGTCCCAAATTTACGAAAATAACTAAAGAATTATCATTGTAGCATGCACTTTCTCTTTTGTACCTGTAAGGACAGCAGATCCTGGGTGATTTAGGACTTAGAAACATCCGTTCTGGCACAAACAACCCAAAACCCTACCACTAGAAAGACGAACAAGTGTATTTGGACCATTGGGTTTATTCAGCCTAAAAGCAGAGCGCTAACATTGGCTCAGAGGGACCTCGGTGAAAGGCTGCGGTAAGACAGCAGAGGAGAAGCTCTTGAGCCCAAGGCCAGCTCTGTGCCCCCACGCTGCAGGCACCCGAGAGCCGCCCACCAGCTTCGGAGCTTCTGTCGCACGCCAGTAGCAACCGACATCCTCTCGGTCCTGCTCGGAGGTGATGCGATGGGGAAGAAAACCGGAGTGTCGCAGACTTGGACATCACTACGTTGCTTTTTTTCTTTCGACAAGAAAAGCAGGTAAGGAAAGCTGTGCTCTGGTACCGATTTGGAGCTAAGTGTGGCTTACTGAGCCTCTGCTTGCTTTGCAGAGCCTTCTCTAGAGTTTATTTTCGAGTCAATACCTGCACTTAAAATGCAATTTGTTCTACCAGAAGTTAAAACCATGCATCAAGGATATGTTTAACACTGTGGCCTCTCTTAACTCCTCTAAAATAAACTGTTGTCCTTTTTTTATATTCCTGAAGCTTGATGCTGATATAAAACCTGGAAGTGGAAGAGTGGTCATGTTGTTCTAAATGCAAAAGCCCAGGTTGCTTCACTGAAAAAAACGTGGGAAGGTTTGTTTCTACAGTGCGTGTGCTATTTTAATTAATTGTACTAACTCTAAAGTACCATGTGGGATTAGAAAGAAAACTGCTGTTGCTTTTGCAGAGGGAAGCACGTGGCATGGAGAAGCGTGTGCACATTGCACTGGGACGTTTCCATAGTCCCTCCTTTTTGGAAGGTGCAGTAACTTCAACTTCCCATTTCTACCACAAAAAAACGTTAGTAAAAAGAACTGGGTTTGCAGTGATGTTTTAAACACAGGAAAACTGCTACAATGATAACCTTTCCTGTTCTTTAAGTATATAAAAGTGTACAAAACGCTGTTTTAGAAAGTATTTTGTCACAGATCTTATTTTGAGATAGTCTGATACTACTCATGAAAATGCTGAATACTGTCTGCTGCCATTCCTCTACGTAATACTTCAACCCGTATGCTTACTGAAAGGAGCGTACTTGGGTAATTATTCCAAAGCCTCATGGGCTTGTGTTTCTTTTGGGATAAAGGTCTCAAGGGCAATTTTCTCAGTTTAGCCAGATGCTCACTTCCCTTTGCCACAAAGAGCCCCAGAGTGCTTCTGTTCTCTGGGAGCCGTGGAACATCTCGTGCCTGAATTCAGTACTTATGGATCCCTTCTGTCACAGGCGCCAGAGAAAGGTTCTGCACGTCGCTCGGGCTCACGTCGTAGCCCAGCTTCTTCATATCTTTGGTCACTACGTTGAAGGAAATGGTCACGAAGCCTTGAGATCGCACCCTCGTTACTAGAAGAAAGACGACGTGAATAAAACTGGTTAAGAGAGGTTTTTGGAACTCCTCGCGTCTCCAGGTAGCACTGTTCTCAGCAGGAACAGTTAGGTTCTTTTTTTCAGCAGAAGATGGTTGGCCAAGCTGTGGCTTGCTGTTGTGCAAGGGTCACAGTCAGGAGCGCCCGGGGACTTACCTTCTCTTCCTTCGCCCTGTGCTACCACCCTGGGGTCAGTAAATTCTGGACGTCTCCCTGTGAACCAGCTTGGAGAAGAAAATAGAAAATAATTAATTCGATACATTTCAGTGATGTTTAGATTTGACACAGCTCATTACGTGCCTGTTAAAAAAAGCGGGGTGGTGGTGTTGAATGAGACTCCCAGCTTTTGTTTGCAGTAGAGAGTTTTGAAGACTGATTCACTTTACTGCTGATCTACTTTGATCAAAGATAAGTTTTGTCTCTCTAAGGAAAAAAAATGAAACCAATTTCATACACATGTTAAATCCAAGTTATTTCTGGATTAGACAGAGTCTTTCTGTGGCAAAGATGTGTTTGAAACTGATTCAGCTCTTGATTACCCAGAGTAACAGAGAGGCTTAGATACTCTGAATACATCAGAGGTGCGCATAATACAAAAGTATACAAATTAGAGTGTGGATGTGCTACAAAAGGGTATCGTAAAGAGAAGAAAAGTCTGCAGCACGCCTCCTTCGCGTCCAGTGACAACTCAAATGCTCAGTAACGTCAGCCTGAGCACCTCTGCACGTCGGACCACTGATGGGAATCAACCCATGGAACACGGAGCTGCCGTTCCCCTCATGGAGCAGCCTGCTCTGCTCAAAGGAGTTCTTTTTCAAACCAACAGCGTTCAAACGTGAGGATGGCAAAGAGTTGAGTTAGCATTACTGCAAGCAGGTAGTTAATATGTTTTAAGAAAGCTCTTCAAAAGACCTAGACACCTAAACCTGTGATTTTACCTACAGAACTCCAAACTATCTGGTTATAACCCAAAGTATTCGCATGCGTGCACCAGTGAGTAGCTGGATCTACCTTTGGGCCTAAAAGCAAGAAGGAATTCTTAAAAAAAAAAAAAGTCTTTAATCATTACCTTGTAAACTTCTGCAGCCTAGATGTGGACTCTGGAACAAACATAGCGATGGTTCTTGTGTGCCTAAAACAAATACGCACAGAGCTTCAGAGATGAACCAAACAGCCCTGGCAAGACTTCTCGTCTTTATAAAGGCATCAGCATTTCAGAGACACCAGAGCACTGAACATAGGACAGGGCTTTCCCTTCCGCAAAGAGAGGGGCTGTTTGCACAGCGAGAGCGTATCTCCCTCCCTTCCCAGGGGTGGGATGAAAGCTCCACAGGTGCTGAGCGTGATGGCGGAGAGGTAGCGTACCGTGCCTCATGTTTGCTCTCTGCCTGCCGGTTCTGACTTTAGAGTTGTCTGCAGGATTACCAAGAGTTATTTCGATAAGCAGAGGCTGCTGCCAGAAAATCCACGCTCTTTGTGCCAAAGGGACAAGACACAGCAGGGAGATGGGGGAACGTTTTGTTGAAACAGCATGGTAACTGGAAAAAAAAATCTGCCTTTCGGTCCCAAAAGACAAGGGTTGTCGCTCACCGCCCGGGCGTGAAGGGAACATGAACGGCTCCGTAACCCCTCACCACGTCGTGTCCGAAGAAGTCGGGTCCGTAGACGCTCACGACGATCTGCGGCCCTGCGAGCGAGGTGGGCGTGAGAGGGGCTCCCGGTCCGCGCGTGGGGTTCCCCCCCACCCCCCCCACCACTCC